GGTCATTAGTATTTGCTCTGTGAGTCGTTAGGAAATACACGTGGAGAAGGATAAAGCTGTTACATGCTGACATAAATAACATTTCAAGTGGAAAATAACTGTTTCCCAGGAAACACTACCCGTGAGATGCCTGGGGTGGATTGGCAGTCTTCCGCCCCCGAGACACCTGGCATGACCACTGCGTCTGCTGCTGCTCACGCCCGCTGTGGCCGTCGCCTGCTCTGGTGCTCATCTGTCCACACATGGGTGGGAAGACGGTGGTTCTTGGTTTGCAGCACGCCACCACAGGCAGTGCCCTCCAGACTGGCTCAGAGGGCTCTGGACCCACAGGAGGTGACCCTGATGCTGCAGCTCAGTGACAGATGCTGGCCTCCCTGACGCCCCGGGGGCCGTTCTGCTGCACAGCTTCCAGCCTGTGTCGTCCCCTGGGAAACCCGTCTTGCCAGGCCACGCTAGTCTCCCGGTGCCGGTGCTGTTCCCTTTTCAGAACCCCGTTGGTTAATGTCCCCACAGCTACCAGGCACAGTTGGTCAGTCCCCACTGTTGACAAGGCTGTCTGACTCTCCCTCAGAGGTGCGYGTCGTCGCTGGGGTGAACTGCACCAGCCCTTTCCTTTAGGGGCATGTTCGCTTCCTTCATTTTCAAGAGCATTTCTGCAGAACCCAAGTCTGAGTGCCCAGTTGGTCTGCATCTCCTGGGGTAGAAGTGGGTTCCATGGACAAACCTGCTGGGTGCAGCTCACTGCTCAAACTGTCCCATGAGTGCTGTTCCTGAAACAGCCGTCATATCAAGATAGGCACCAAGGGCACTTCGTGCAAGCCCACTAGGCTGGCACGCCTGTGATGCTGTGGCTCAGGAGGCACAGGCAACAGAAGCAAGGTTCAAGGCCAGCCTGGGCCAYCCCGTGAGGCCCCATCTCAAAATAAAACACTGGGGATGTKGCTCAGTGGTAGAGCATGCATGCTTGGGTCCAAACCCCAGCACCAGAAAAGAGAAGAAAAAAAAAAGTGCTTTATGTATGCTTCCTTCTTTCATGCACCAAAATAACTTAAAACATATACATTAACTAATAGAACGAAGCATTTTGTCCTGTTTCGTTAAACGTGCTTCAGTGAAACTGGCTTTTGAAGACCACAGTCCCTGCTGGTCCCGGGACTCGCTCCCCTCTCCCGCTGGCAGCCTTGTCTGACTGGTTTGCTCTCCAGTGTGAATGTCAGCGCACTTGGAGACAGTGACCTCTGGGGGCCAGAGTGAGAGCAGTTGGACTGCGTAGCCTGGGGGGCGGTCCTGGGGGGGGTCCTGGGGGGGAGTCCTGGCGGCCCTCGTGGCCACACTTTGGAAACTGCTGCATTGGATAATGTGACACTTGGTACATCCTAAAACTTCTGAAAATTGTACTCATGTTGTAGGAACATGGCTCACTCTGCAGTCTCTGGGTTTGGTTTCCAAGACAGGTGAGTGGTGTGGCACTCACAAATTTATCAAACTCCGAAGTTACTTCTGTGTTGCTTTTATACCCTGGTTCATGCAGTTTTTCTATGGGTGAATGGTAGCTGCAGGTCCCTCCTGCTTAGCAAATGAAGGAGTTGATTCTCAGATATGAAGCCTTTGCTGTCCCAGAAACTGGGATGCTAGTGTTATAGTTAAAGCTTCGTCCCAGGACCTCCAGACCACTCACATAACATCGAATCAAGCCTTTATTGAAGCACACCGGTGGCGGCTGACCAGAACATAAAGCTGTTCCCCTGATCAGCCCTGAAACATTGCAAGGGCGCTCCTTATAAGCCTGAAAACCGCAAAAGGGATGTTCGGGGGTCCAGCCAGTGCAAGCCAGCCAGGTTACAGAAGCAGGACAGTGCAGTTAAGCAGAGGGAAGCCTAACCAATCACAGTTAGCCCAGTTACCCCAGTTACAGAATCAGAGCCCCCTTACCTAGTTACAGAAACAATACCCCATTAGGTAGTTGCTAATGTTAAAGGTTTCTATAAGAAAAGGAAAAGAAATCTTGCCCCAGGCCTGACCCTTCTAGTTGGCATGGTGGTTTTACAGGATGAAGCCATAAAACAAAATGGAGTCACATTTGCTCCTACTGTCACACTAGTAGGTGAAACTCCTAAAAAAATCCGGATGTTTCCGCTCCCTTCATCTGTACCCTATGAAACAGTCCTTAGTTCCCACAAGTGCAATTGGTTGGATCTACTTCCCCTGACAAGGAAATTAGTTTCATTTAGATGTGTTAAGATCATTTTTTTGAGAGCTGTTTTGTAGTACTATTTTGTAGAGCGGGATCTTGCTGTGGGTAGTGTTTTTCTCTGGGCATTGACAGTGTCAGAGGCCTCCTGTGGACCCTCCTCCAGTGTCCTGCAAGGGCAACAGCAGCAGGGTGGCCCCTGTGGGAGGCCCTGGTCCCAGGAGCTGTGGTTGAAAAGGAGGCAGCAGGTGAAATGATGGGTTCTGAGTCTGAGACCTCACGCCGACCAGGCGTGGATTCACGAGTCCAACTGCATATGATTCTCTCGTGACGTTAYTGAAACTAATGTCTAACTGGTTTGGTGCCTGTTGCACATCAGAGCTGGGGCCTCAGGGTTTGGCGTGACCCGATGCAGCCATGGTTCCTTGGAGATCTTGGATCACTCCTTAGCCTGGCTAAGCCTCTGATTCCTCATCTGCAAAACTTCTAGGRTTCCTTCAGAAGGTTGCTGTAGACATTAAGTAACGTAAACTAACAGGGGTGACTGCCAGCGTCTCCTGGGGGTTCTTCTTCCTGCCAAGAAAGGTGTAAGCCACCTGGAAACTTGGAAGTCTAAAATGATGAGAGAGGAACAAAACAGAGTCAGAAAAGTGTYAACCAAAGCAGAGCCCCTGATGCGTCCCATCCACCAAGAGCTGTGATGCGGCGCTGGCCGGTGACTCCCGTGTTGGAGATTGACTTTAGAGAAGCGCGGAGGCAAGCATGTAAAGCAGGTTTTAAAAAAGGGGAAACAGACTTCTCCAGGGAGGGAGGAGGGGGCCACAGCTGGGTCCTGGYATCCCAGGAGGCGCGGTGTTCGCCCTTTTTATGTTTCCTAGGCTTCCTTTCTCCTGCCTTTTCTCCCTYATCTTTCTCCTTCCTGCCTACGTGACTRGGCCCAGGAATGCCTAGTGGGATGGCCAAAGGTGAGAAACAGGTGGGCCSAAAGGGGAAGGGCAGGGTGGAGCAGCCCAGGACACCAACAACCTTCTGATCCCTGTAGGGAGGGGCCCTTCCTGGGACRGGCCACCTTAGCCACAGGCTGGAGGGGGAGGGGTGGAGGAAGGGCCCTGAAGGAATAACATTTCACCCCTGGGCAAGGTTGGCCTGACTCCCCTGAGCTGACTTGATTTTCCTGTCTCTACAACTGATTCTGGCTTCAGCTGGAACTAGACTAAGGAAAGAGAGCTCCTAGGGTTGATGGAAGCTGCTACATGCCACTCGAGGAGAAGGCTTCTAGGCCGAGTCTTGTTTCTGATGTCTTGCAGTCAGCAGGTTGATTGGCGTCTTGGCCGTCACACCTGTGAGACAGGCAAGGGGGCAGCGACCAAAGGAGGCAGATTTAAAAAGACACTGAAGGAGGCTTTATTTGAGACTCATCCCCGGGTGGAATTCAATCAGACCGACAGAGTGGTCAGGAGAAGGGCCTAAGGAGAAACCGTGTCATGGGGCTCATGGCAGGAAAGGAAGGGCTTGGGACAGGAAAAGGGATTTTTAGGGTCCCTTGTCCCATGGGAGTTGGTCAGGGGAGCTGGCTGAACTCCAGGATTGGCGTTAGTCAGGAGATCCCGCTGATTGACAGGCATTTCTGTTGGCGCCCGACTTGAGAATGATAATACCCGTTTCAGGTGCTGTGTGGGTCTTGGTAGAGCAGGATAGAGATTCACTGTGTGTCTGGGGAAATGACCAAAGAAAATGTCCACTGGTCATTCCCAGACACCAGATGTCTCTATCCACTAGGCTTCAGTGCGCGGTGACCCACAYGCAACCCATGGACAACTCGTGAGAAGTAGCTCCTGGGTATCTCTGTGTGGTCATAGCTCCGTCCCACCCTGTAATTCACTGACCCTCCCGAGAACCCTGTGAAGCAGTTAAAGTGTGTTATTATCCCGTTCCATAAAGGAGGAAACTGACTGTGAATGAGGAAGAGGCTTGCTTAAAGCTACCAGCCCACAGTTAGAGGATTCATCGTGACCCGGGTCACCTGACCTCAGCACTGTTGTGGGGGGGTAGGAGGCCTCCCCAGCGCGCCTGCGAATGCAGGGATGCTCAGAGGGGAAAGGGGCTGTGAGAGCTGTCGCCCGATCAGTGCAGGCCAGCGTTGACCCACTGGGTGGTGGCCGTAGGCAGGTGGGGCAGGGCTGTAGAGGGGTCATGGGGGCATCTCCCTGAGGGGAGCAGTGCTGCCCCATCACACCCTTCTTCTGAGACCCACTGCCTGGCCTGGGGCGCAGAGCCGTGCCCTGGCCGAGGAGGACTGAATGTCCGGGAGCCGGTGCTACAAGGAGCCTCCCTCCTCTTGAGCTGCTCGTGTTGGGTATTTTGTTCACAGTGGTGCAAAGCTGGCTGAGGGCACTTTCTCAGTAAAGATCCTATAAGGGAACACAGAGTTCCACGTGACCCAGCAGGAATGCCCTCCAGCGCAGGAATCACTGATATTGCAGAAAGGAGTTAGTTCAGAAAAGGGGTGATGTTTTCAGTTGTCTCCAAGAATTCATTTTTGTTTGTTTTTAAATTAGAAGAGAATTGCCTGGTTTACACAAAAATTTGACGTAAGTATAAATGGGATAGGGCTGGGGATGTGGCTCAAGTGGTAGTGCGCTCGCCTGGCATGCGTGACGCACAGGTTCGATCCTCAGCACCACATAAAAATAAAGATATAGTGTCCACCTAAAACTAAAAAATAAATATTAAATAAATAAATAAATGGGATAATTTCTACAAGACCATTTAAATAATTTTGTTTTCCTCTTTTTCCCTCTCAACCCAGATTTTAGAAGAGAACATAAGGACTTGGAAGCAGGCTGTAAATCCCCTGAGCTCCACCCAGGATCACATCTGCAAGTAAAAAGTCATTTGGTGAAAAGGTAATGCTGACGCTTGGGAATGCCAAGCCCTTTCCTGGTGGATGCCCSTGGTATAGGGATTCTTCATTCATCAGGAAGGCATAGATCTGCCTTTCTCCCCTAGAACAGTGGGACTCACTGGAGGGTTTGTACCCGTGGGCAGCRGGCCTCCAAGGTGCCAGGGGGAGAGGCACAGTGGCCCCTCACGGCCAGGGCAGGAGGGTACAGGATCCCACCCAGTGAGTGCCCAGAACCTCAGAGAGCACCAAGCTCTCCCTCCACGCGCTGCGCTTCTCTTGCATATACCAGGCGCTTGTCATGCCCCGTGGCCGTGACTTTGTTAGAGATGTGACAGCAAAACCAGCACGACTTTGTGTTTCCTTCAAGATTGTACAGAAGAGTCTAGATCATGGCAACCTCAGACTTCTAATTTCCCTGAAGGAGACGTCCTGCTCTCCCTCCCGTGGGCAGCACCTTGCTGAGCTTCTGCACGGCTGGAGCATCACTGCTGAGCTTCAGAGCCCATGTGTACCTGCRCCGAGGCAGACCTGAGTGCTCCGGGCGGGCACTGAGGCACTGAGGCTGAGCAGACTGGGCAGCTACTCACTCAGGGGTGTGCGATTTAGAACTCACAGGTCATTTATTTTAGGAATATTCTAGTCAGTGTTTTCAGACTGACGTCAACCGTGGGTAACTGAAACCGTGSATGAGGGGGAACTGCTATATCTTAAAAATGAGAAAATTTGAGGTTGACATTAARTCATCTGCTCAAAGCAGTGGAGCTGAGATTTGATAAGTGCATCTACCTAGCCATTCCTCTCTAGTTCACTTCTATGAATTCATAGGAAAAATTCATAGGAGAAATCATGAAACAAATAATTTGCAGCATAGCCGGGTGCGGTGGCCCACGCCTATAATCCCAGTGGTTTGGGAGGCTGAGGCAGGAGGATCGTGAGTTCAAAGCCAGCCTCAGCAAAAGTGAGGTGCTAAGCAACTCAGACCCTGTCTCTAAATAAAATACAAAATAGGGGTGGGATGTGGCTCAGTGGCCAAGTGCCCCTGAGTTCAATCCCAGCTACCAAAAAAAAAAAAAAATCTGAAACATATGATTTATCTCCACCTTAGGAATTAGCTATTACTTTATCAAAGATAATTTTGATTGAATTAAATTAATTATTCACCATCCTTAAAGTGTTGATATAAGATTTTAAACATCTTCATCCCTGTTGCCTTTCAGTATTAGAAAGGGGCGAGAACAGTGTAGAGTTTGGAATTGTCTGTAGCATTTTCCGTAAGTTCTGTGCTGTATTTCATCACTGATAATTGTAATTTCAGTGAAATGAACTTTAAAGTACGTTTCTAACGGTGAGAAATGTGATTTGCGGGTGGAAGTGCAGATCAGTCGCAAGTACCTACACAGGGCCCTGGGTTCTGTTCTAGCACCACACAAAAAGAGAAGAGAAGAAATATGGATCTGGTAGTGATGAGCATTTGTGGTGAGCATTAGCATAGTGTGGGTGGCATCATATTCCCATTTCTATTGTGTTGCAGAAATGATGTGAACCATGCATTGGAAAAACCRAAATGGAGAAACGCTTATTCCCTAGTTTCACCTATTGCAGAAGGTGTGTCAGCTTTGCTTTGATCTTTGTATTTTAGGCCACATGCCCATGAAACCAGTGGAAACTTCCTTCCTTCGCCTGGCCCCCAAATACYCAAGGACCACACTGCAAGAGAGCACACCCACCAGTCAGGTCATCGGGAATCTGAAAAACCGAATGGAGGCCGCTTGTCTGAGTGGCTTAGTAGAGAACATTCTGAGAGGGCAGCTTTGCCCTTTCACCTCAGTGACAGTTCGCCTGGAAAGAGAGTGAACAGTAGTGAAGTGGCCTCCCCGTCTTCATCCCGTTCTGCACGTTCCAGGGCTGTCGGCCCAAAGCCGGACGCTGCTCCGCAGCAGACCAGGATAGGGCCATGCTACTGTGAGAACTCTCCTTCCACGGAACCTGTGGCTCAGCCAGCCTGCCGATGTGATGGTTGCCAGGGGCCAGAACTTCTTTGTCAGCTTCTGCCACCCGCATTGCCACCAAAGAAACATGCTGTTACTAGTGTGCCAAAGTCGGAGAGGAGTGAGTCTGTGCCTGACGTCAGACTTTCAGGGGTGTTCAGCGGTCCCACGAGGCCAAGCGCAGTGTCAGAGCCAGGTTCAGAACTCAGTACACATGCGGACCACCTGAGATGCAGAGASACCCTTCAAGTGAAGTTGCGTACGGGCAGCAGAGCCCCCTGCCTGTTCAACTCTGCAGCTTGTGGGTTTCAGGCAAACTCAACGACAGTTGATGATGCACTCTGCCAGCCAGAACTGGACTCCAGTTCTCCGTGCCCAAGTGAGACCGTCTCATTAACTACCTATTTTTCAGTTGACAGCTGCATGACTGATACGTACAGACTGAAATACCATCAGAGGCCCAAGCTCTGCTTTCCAGAGAAGACTGGCTCTTGTCACAGCCCTTCACCGACTCAGAGTGATAGAAGCGTAGGACCTGTCACATGATGGCCTTGGCCCACCCTGCCCTTCCACAAGTCCAGCATGCACTGTAGCAGGTAGATGATGGAGTCCACCAGCTTATTCTCAGAGGCCATTAAGATATTCCTAGTGACCAAGAAAATCAAATCTGTGGCATTTTAAAAATCATATATATGCATACACACAYACAAATGAATATAAATATAATGTTAAAATGTTTTGCTCTATAATGATCAATTACTGGATATTTTGGAAATTCACTTTGAATATCGTGGCATGCCTTGAAAAATAGCAAGTCAGGGAATCTATAATACTATTTGTCATATGTAACAGTTGAATAAAAATTAGATTTGTCCCCCTCTAACATGGCTAGTAGACCCATAGTATCAAACTGACCAGTTCCACGGGAACTGCCCGTCTGCATGCCAGCAGCACAGGGGTTGTCAGGTCAAAGCAGAGTCTGCCTTTAAGAGCACTTTTTGATTGTAGCCTACAGGTTTCACCAGTTTGTTCCCGATTTCTTCCACGCCTGGGCCCTTCAAGTGTCTTTTAAAAAAAAAAAAAATGACCTTGAGTTTTGTAGAATCTTGGGGGAAATTGCCTTAATGATTAACAATTTTTCAAATTTCAAGGTCAGGACTAATTTTTCTCCTAGAACATATATCTTCAGAGTATCTGGCTAACGTAAATAGGCCTTTAACCATTATATGTGTTCGTAAATATTGCTTTGGCCACGAGCTGAGAAGTCAAAAGTGTAAACTTAAGTATATTTATTTATCTTGTTACTTTTTTTTTTCCTAATTTTACGTGAAATGTGAAAGACTTTTATTTTGGTTACATTTGCTTTGGGCTGCTAATAACCAATGTTAGGAATTAACCTTGAGTCCTGTTAATTGGGACTGTCAAACTGCCCAGGTTCTCTCTGCTGCAGTCTTMCACTCCTAGGTTGTCAACTCACTTTACTACCTAGGCTTCCAGGTTAACTTTGTCTCTCATATAGAGGGTTAATCTTAATGAAATGGGTATCTGATTTGGGCACCCTTCCAATTTTCTCCTCACATCATCTTACCGCGGCTGCCTTCATGGAGAGGGCTCTCTTTAAAAACTATAGGGGTTTCACATGGTGAACTTAGGAGCCAGAACAACTCCCTTCTCTCCTTAGTTGTCAGTTTATTTTATACTAAGCTGGTAACCTGACTGGGATTGAGAATAGTTTTATAGTGTCTATTCCAGAGAATTGAGAATWTATAATTCAGTAAACTAACAAGTTTAATGTCTTGGCCAATTCCATAAATCGTGTTAAATTTTTCCAAAAYGTAAGTGGTTAAAATGAATACTTTTAGATAATTGATTATAAAAGCTAACCCTAGCCCTCCGACTTTGGCCACCAAGACTGTCTTCTGCCTGTAGACATTCTCACCAGCCTTTTTTACCTTTTTATATGCTCTCAATTTAGAAATACTTGAATATCAAATTTTTATCTTTTAAGAAAACTTAAGTTTTTATAATGGAAGGTTTGTAAGTAATGTAAGGTTTATAGAATTGTATCTGAAATGTCAATGTTTTTCATTGCTGCTTTGATAATGTAAAATACTAAAGATGGGGCTTCAAGTATTTTTTAATAGCTTTCAAAAACTGTGTGGGCTCATATTAACTTCAATTTGGTCAAGATGTCCAGTTTGAAATATATTAACTGAAACATTTACACTAATTTCTGATTTAATAAGTTAAATGTACCTTTTCAACATCCAGTTTAGTTGCAAACATTAAATAGCAGTATCCAATTTTGCCTTTTAACCTACTATTCAGTTTTTAAGAAACTTCCCCAGTTWTGTAATTTAGTACTAAACAAATTAGAAACCATTTGGTTTTGTTGATTCAGCACTCCAAGTAGATTCAATGCATACATACTAGCTATTCATTCCCCTGTAAAGTCTCTACTTCTGAGGTGCCTGTTAATATTTTTATATATTTTCATGTTATAACTTTTTATAATACAAGCAAGCATTATTGAAATGTTTAAAATACTTGTCTTCAGAATTATATTTTCATGTAAAATCATTTTTTTTTTTTTGGTTCAAAATTTTTTAAGATAAAGTGTTTTAAGTTAACATGGTTGAATTTTGCATTGGTGAGTTGTCTCTCCCCCCTCCCCTTTCCGTGTGTCCTGTTTAAGGGAAATGGAAGTCAATTTAAAATTCCAGGGTACTTGGGATCACTGCTCATGTCACGCCAGGTGTTCCTGATTCAACCTGTCCAGTCTAGAGTGTAGTGCCAGAGCCAGGCAATGAAGGACAGAGCTCTGGGTAGCAGCTGGTCTCACTGTGCAGTGGCATGCACAGGGAAGGGCCCCAACCCTGGAATTGGATTGCTGGTTTTCCTGTGAAAGCCTTTGATTCCTCTCAGTCATTTTGAAAGGTAAAAACCATTCTTAGCTTAGAGGCTTTCATTATAAAAACAGGCAGTGAGCCCAATTTGGCCCAGTGGCCCTGGTTTACCTTGTCTTTGAGCACCACCTACATTACATACCCTCACTGACCATAGMCATCCGGGGTTTCCAAATGCAATTCCATACCTTCTAGGGTCATTTGGTACTTTTTTTTTTTAATTGTTGATAGACCTTAGGTTTTTTTTTTTTTTTTTTAATTCATATATGGTGCTGAAAGTCAAACCCAGTGTCGAAACCAGTGCCTCCTCACACATGCCAGGTAAGTATACTACCACTGAGCCCCAGCCCTTAGTGCTCTTTATATGCTAAAATTTTCAGGTGAAGAGATCCTTCTTTTTTTTTTTTTGAGAGATAGTTTTTTTTTTGGTAGATGGACACAGCACAATGCCTTTATTTTTATGTGGTGCTGATAATCAAACCTGGGTACCGCCCATGCTAGGAGAGTGCTCTACCACTGAGCCACAATCCCAGCCCAGGTAAAGAGACCCTTAAAACTGTCCTTACAACTGCTAAGCCAATTCATTTCAAATAGTACTTTAAATCTCATTTTACTTCCATGAAATCAAAAGTGAGTTTGCAAATGAACTTATACAATTAAAATCACATCATTCTTGATGTCTTTTTGTTGTAGCAAGTTTCCAACACTTTATGGCATTCCATTTATACACTTCAAAAGCCTCCAAAATATGGGCACTATGAGCAGTTTGGTGGCGAGTATGGTTTCTTACTCATCTGAATAGGATCCGGGCCTTCATGCTGCCACCATTTAGTCATGTAATATATCAGCACATTAGTGAAGTTTTTCCAGARAAAAGAACAGCTTATATAGAAACTTAGTATGAGGGATTGGCTCATGTGATTATTGAGGCTCAGAAGTCCCATGGCCTTGCCCACTGCAAACCAGAGGCCCAGGAAAACCACTGGTGTCCAAGTCTGTAGGCCCAGGCACCAGGAGTACTGATGTTGCGGTTCACCCTTCCTCTGCCTTTCTAGTGCTCCAGCCCTCATGGGATTGGATGATGCTCTGTACATTGGGAGAAAATCTTTCTTTGCTCTGTTGGTTCAAATGCTAATCTCCTTCAGAAACATCTCTTTGGACATACCCAGGAACAGTGTCTTACCAGCTTTCTTGGATCCTTAGCTCAAACTGACACACAAAAGATTATCCATCACATTGTAAGATTTCTCCATCTTGGCTAAGCTAGAAATTTTCAGAACATGTGAAAGTAGGCCAATTTTAGGCTCAGAAAGGTGGTAGGGATGATGATTACAAGTCTGTGGGTACTCTAACAGTAAGCTACATAAGAACTATTAAACTTTTTATAACCTTACCACCAGATAATTTGCTGAGAAAAAACAAATTCAGCTATGTAAGTAAATGTCTATTAGATAAAATTGTTAGCAGCAGAAAAGCAGGTCATAATCATTTATTACACTCAGTACAATCTCCTTTTTTGTTCCTGATGCTTCAACCACACTTTCCACAGAATGCAACAATACCCTGAAGGCATAACTAAGAGTCACCAGGCCCACGGATCCTCCAAGGGCAACTCCAGGCCTGACCCTAACCCTGAGCACCCTTCTGAAAGGCAGAGGGTGCAGAGTTCCCTGGATCTTCTGCCTCGACCACAGGGAGGGGACSACTTCACACAGTCCACATCTGCCAAACCCCGTGATCTTTCTGGTGAAATGCCCGCTGAGCACCCCAGATCAGTGAAATAATTGGATTTAAATAACAATTAGATTTGAGTTTAATACCAATTAGATTTTTAAGAAGACAGAACAATCTCTAMAAAGGAAAGAATTTTTGTCTGGCCTACAACTATGTTTAAAATGCTGTGGCCAAAGATGAGGGCTCTGTAGTTTGAGTAAATACCACACTGCCAGCAGAGGCATTCAAATAAGTTACAAGCATGATGAAAGCAAATGTTTTGGACACAAGCATACCTAATACAATAATTAAAAAAAAAAACAAAACAGGCTTGAAACATTCCTGTTTCAGGGTGCTCAAGAGGGCATGCAGGCGGGCTTTCCACTATCTAATGCCATCTCCTTTGTGACCCAACCGGCATTTCAAAGGTCATGAAAAGACCATTTAAAAACTAAGTACATGTAGAGCCAATAGATTGTGGACTCTATTGTAATAGTTAATGACAGCCTCTACACAATCTCAGAACACCAGTCCTTTTCTCTCTCCTGAATAATTTTGGAATTTACAACTCCCTCACCTCATTRTGTGACTGAATTAAACCCAGACCAACCCTTACAACAGTAAAGACATTACTGTCTTCTCGTGAATATGCTAAGCTTTGAAGTACAAATTTTACTTCTACACCAGCCCCTATAAAGACATTAGGTGTTTGAAAAGAGTTTAAATGTGAAACACTGCATTTAGTTTTAGGAACTTGGCTATGAATGAGATCACCATTCATTTAGTAGTTCCCCAAATGAGTTAGAAGAATATGTAAAAAGAAAGGATGGTCCCTTAGAGACTTGAAATTCTGCAGTAGCACAATCCCATCTTCTTTGTTCAAGAAAACTGTAGTTCATTTTCAGAATTCACTCCAGAATCCAGTGATCTTGGGATGTCAGCAAACCCATCTGTAAAAAACAAACATCTGTCACCAATGTTTCCTGTGTCTGCCCATTTTAGCATCTTATGCCACCTCTGAAAATCATACTTGTTTTTGTCACAGGTCTATCCCAAAAATGATTTACATATTGATAAGAATTTTTAAAAGAGAATTTTTAATATTCATTTGTTTTCGGTAGACACAACATCTTTATTTTATGTTTATGTGGTGCTGAGGACYGAATCCAGCGCCTAGCACATGCCAGGCGAGCTCCTACCACTTGACCCACATCCCCAGCCCCCCCAAGAATTTTTTTAAATGGTGTAGAAAGTTTTCAAGTTCCATTTTTCCACCCAGAGCTGAGAATTCTGGTCATTATTAAAAATAA